CCTGAGAATTTTAAAATCGCGTGAAATAGAAAGTACATTTTCTTTCAGTTCTAAGGTTTTACACACAGGACACCATAAAAATAATCTGGTTCTTATTGGGCTTAAAATGCAGTAAATACAACCTCAAACACCATGCCACATATGCCACCATGTCATTATTTTTTAACAAAAAAATTAATTTACACTTGCTGCTACTTTAAGAATTAAGAGGGTAAATAGCATCCTGGTGCTGCTACTTACCCTCTACCATCAAATGCATTTTATTAACTGGTCATCAGCAAGTTGAGGCGCCTCTATAAATGCAGAGGTTTGCAGGTCCGACGCAAAACATCAATGTGGGAAGGCTTGTAATGCCACTTCCAACCACTTTGCTGTCCATTATTTTACAGCGAGAAAGATTATTCACAAGTGGAAAACATTCAAAACAATCTTGTTCCTTGACAAACGTCTTGACAACATAAGACTCTACAAGCATCAGTTAGCTATTAAATGTCAAAGGTCATGACAGTATGATGAGAAAAAGAGTGAACAAGAATATCTTCTTTGAAAGGATTACCATGCAGCACAGCTTGGGTTTGCAAAGTTATAGCCGAACTAATGGCAAGACTTCTGGAACAACATCCTTTGCACAGACACAAGAGGAGATGTTTGGCTATAATGCACAATGCCATGTTTGGAGAAAACCAAACACAACATATCAGCATAAACTCCTCATACCAACTGTCAAGCATGGTGATAGAGGGGTGATAATTCTGGGCTTGTTTTGCAGTCTGTTTCGATCATGAACCCTTCTGTATACCAAAGTATTCAAGAGTCAAACATTAGGTTATCTCTCCAACAGCTAAAGCTTGGCTAAAACTGGGTCATGCAGCAGGACAATGATCCCAAGCACAAATGACTTAAAGTTATTACAGCTGAAGGTGATTCTCGAGGCTACCAAATCATGGGATGTACTTACATTTTCAAACACTGCCTCTTTCATTATTGTTAATGAATAATGATGGTTTAATGTGTCGCATGTTGTTGTTGTTAATGTCAAGTTTAAATAGTTGTAGAACCTGGTAAGGAATTCATGTTTATTCAATAAATCCTGATATGTAAAACCTTAGAATTGAAA